AAACTTCGATTGCAGGCAGGGCTTTGCTAATTTTCATTGCCCCGCCGTGCAGTTGCTGTTGCAGTTGCAGTTGCAGCTGCAGTTGCAGCTGCAGTGAGTGGCATGCCTCCTCTTAAATATTCATGGGCCAAAGTTTAAGTCGAATCAGGCACACACACACAGAGCGGAGGGGAGCGGGGGGGTGGGAGGAGACAGGCAGCGCTTTTATCAATTATCAATTAACCTAAATTTCAGCCTTTACGATTTTGGCACGACCAAATGACAGTCTCTCTCTCTCTCGCTCTCGCTCTCTGCCACGTGCCACATGCCCCTGCCCCCTGTCACCTGCCACCTGCCACCTGCCAGGTGAAGTGCATACGGAGCAAGATGAGAGCATTTTTCAAATGAAACCCGACAGACAGCCTTGCCTCTCCTACTCGCGGGATTGTCTCCGCATCGCAGGCGTCTGATTGTATGATTAGTCCTCGTCCTCGTCGTCCTCGTCGTCGCCGTATAAGAGCATTTTGCAAATTGGAAACGTGGTTAGCCGAAATAATGGGATAGTGCCATAGAGAGAGGGAAGAGCCGGATAGCCGGATGGCCGGATGGCCGGATGGCCGGACAGAGACTGTTCTGGTAGTAGTTGTGGGGAAAAAGGACTCTCGTCGGGAACTGCTTGTCGACGACCCTTGACAATAATCACTTTCATTACTGTAAAATGTCAACAGTGTCAACAGCAGGGTGACAATCCTTGAGGACCCTTGCCGCTACACTCCCCCCCCCTGCCCTGCCCCCACTTGAGCCTGCCCCAGCCGAAATTTGATGATGCTGCAACACACACACACACACACACACACTGTGCAGCAGCCAAATCTTGAACAAACAAGCAGGGATGAGAGCTGAACGCTTTCAAGGCGAAACATTCGACAGGAGGAGCAGCAGCAGGAGCAGCAGGAGCTCCTCGACTCGACTCGACTCGTCGCGACTCGACTCGATTCCCAGTTGTGCGGGCGGGCGCACCCCCGGGGCGGCATTTTGCAGCTACTTGCAGCTAGGATAGCAGGCGTATCCTTTGGCTATGGCCAAAAGTAGCGACATCTAGAAGACGTGCATTTGCTCAAGTGGAAATGAATTGAACTCGGGCAGCAGAGACAGCGACAGCGGCAGAGACAGCGACTGAATGGCAGAATGCAATCTCATTCTCTTGTCAACTTAACCTCGCCTCGACTGAAGGAGCCGCCTCGAGGATGCCATCGACTGCTGCTGCTGTGCCATTTGTTGTCTCTACCATTCCCATTCCCGTGCTGTGTCGCCTGCCATTGTCCTCCAAGGAGGTGGAGGTGGAGGTGGAGGTGGCGGTGCTACTGGTGACATCCACAGTCATTTCGAGACGACGTTGCACAGTGGGTGCGCCATTAAACTGATGGCAAATCGAGTAAATTCTTGCCCCATTGTTCGCATGAGTCTCTGCCTCGCAAACAAGTTCATAAAACTGTTTTTATTCTACTCAGAGTCGCCATCGAAGGGAATTGTGGCCGCCAGGATGCCATATGTAGGACCACTGTTCGGGGCTATCCTTCTGCCGCTGCTCCTCCTCCTCCTCCTCCTCCCCCCCTGGCTGCTGCTCGATTTTTATTTTAAACAATGGCTTGAGCATTTTTGATTGTCAAATGTTTGCAGAGATAACATTTACCATGGCGGATTTTCACTGAAGTGCTAGATGGCGTCCTGTTGGCTCCTTGGGTGCCGTAAGCGCGACTGAGCTGGCTGCCACCCTGCAACATGGTGGGGTGTGGGGTGGTGGGTGGTTTGGCTGTTGCCTGGCTGGAGCATCAATTCGTAATGATCTTATAAGTGCTTGTATTGTGCTACCGTCTCGTCTGAGTCCCTCCTCCTGCTTCCTGTGTGTGCGGTTTATAAACAAATGTCTCCGCGAAAGTTTCCGCCAGTCAATTAAATGGCAATTAGAGGAGCGGGACAGAACGGAATGGAATGGAACGGAATGGAACGGGGACGCCATTGTGTTGGCAAACTCCAAAACCAAGGCGGGAGAGCGCTCTATGCTCTTCAATTAAATTCCAATTTGCTCGCGGAAGTGCTTAATTACTGGTTTATTAGCCAAGAGACAGAGAGAGCGCTTTCCCTGTCACAGAGAGATGCCTGACATCCCGATATCCCGACATCTCGATATCCTGATATCCTGATATCCTGATATCCGATTCTGTAAGCTGACAAACAATTTCCCGACCAGCCCCGAGAGTTGATCGATAGTTGGCTATTAATTGAATAGCACTCTGTGGCCGGACGATGCTTAACTTTCTATGCCACATCAGAGTGTGGCATCGCATAGCATGGAGATGACACATTGTCGGGTGGGGCAGGGGCAGGGGCAGGGCAGGGCACTGGATGTTGCCTACTTCTCGGATCTCTATGTTCCCCATTTTCGTTACGTATTGCATGGGCTTTTATGGGGATGTCCTGCCCAGTCCTGTTCGTAATTTTGCTGTGCATTTTACGCTAATTGAAATCGCAATCGAATTACATGGCTACTGCGCTCCGCCCCTGCCCCTGCCCCTTCCCCCTCCACCGTTCCCTTTGACCGGAACGAGGCATGGACAGAGTTTACGAGGCATAAAAGCCAATGAAAATATAATCACATTTATGCAGTTTTTATGTGCCAGCAATGTAAATATTTTCGCTGTAAACATGTGCGGAGAGTGAGTGAGTGAGTGAGTGAGTGAATGAGTGAGTGAATGAATGAATGGCGACGGCTGAATGGCTGGCACACTGTGGAGCTGGTGGGGCTGGTGGGGCTGGTGGGGCTGTGGGGCTGGTGGGGCTGTGGGGTGGCGGCTTATGACTGCTGCCCGTCACCGACAGGCCGTCGGGCATGGATGAGTAACCATGACGTTGCACAAATAAAAGATACAGACAAACAAATACAGCATTCAGGACATACAGGACACACAGGACATACAGCACACAGTACGGGGACACATGGCATAATGTCTGGGCAGCGTGCGGCCAGAGTTCGGTCTGCTGTTGTCCTTTCCTGCTGCAGAGCCGAGTCCTTCTCTCCCTCTCTTTGGCTGTGCTCGAAATTCGATTCCATTTCGGGTTCATTGAATTTGCTGTGATTTCTTGTTTTTGCATTAATAGAGCCTGGCGGGAAAACGGATCCAAGTGAGAATTCAATAGCTCGAAATATCACCATAAGACCATAAGATACCCCCTACTGGAACGCAAACTATTTAAGGAATTTAAGGAGAATACCAGAGAGTATTTTAATATAACGATTCTGTTGAAAATATTAATATCTGATTGAGATTTTCGATGAATTTATTTGTTTTCTTCTAATATTGGATTGTATTTTGTATTTTTGATTATGAAATAATATCACTGATATAAATTATGTTGTTTGCTGTTACTGTTGGAAAAACTTATTCAACAGTCACAGATAAATTGTGATAATTTAAAAAAATAGCACAAAAATTAAAAAAAATGAGTCATCAAGGTCGAAGAATTTGGTTCAATTATCTGAACAGGTTTTCTAGGGTAAAGATCCTCTTAAATCATCCTGTTACGTCAGTTTTCGATGGATTGCTTACAATTGTGGGTATAAGGGTATCCAAATTGAACAAAAATCTAGTCTAGTCAGATTTTGACAATAAATAATATATATCTTCAAAGATAATGGTGTTAATTCTCAGGAACATTGCCATGTCAGAGGCACAAGGACAGGGAGCTCGTCTTCTTGCATTTTTTTTGGGCGTTTGTGTATTTCTTGTTGTGCCAGCCTCTCTTAGCTCTCAGCATCATCCAATGCCCACCTTCCTCAGTTCCCTTTCGATCTTCCTCTCTTTATCTCTCAATGACAACAACATCAGCGCGCCACACTGCGCTGAGACGAGGCGTTCTCGCTCTCAAGCTCCGCTCTTAAGCCTCGCTCCCAATCTTCGCGCCCAAGCCTCGGTCCCATGCCTCGCTCTTAGAAGCAGAAAATGCGAATTGAAGGAATAATAGACAACTCTACTGCATAGTTTCACTCCCTCTTTATTGTTCTTCCTTCTCATTGCCATACCTTTCTCTTCCACCGACACACGAAGGCTACGGCACCTTTCGTGCCAGGCGAGTGAGACCCTCCGCTAGATCTCTGCCAGTTTTTTTTTCTTTCGGTGCAATGCTAAATGCGCAGATCGCAAACGAAGATAACGCAGTCCATGCGACGCTTGCGGTGTGCGGAGTGAGTGAGAGAGAAGCAAAGCTAAATTCGGGCGTGTGTGGGTGTGTGCAGAAATAGAATGAAGCGATAAGAAACGAGTGAACGGAGCTGCTGGCAGAGTCGATCTGTCTGCTACCTGCTGCCCTGCCGTGCCCATGTACCCATATACTCGTACGAGTGCGGGGTATGATGCGAAAATTGAAGCGTGAAATTTATGAAATCCAAATAAACGTACATATGTATGTATGTATATATTTATATATGGATATGTGTATGCGTATTGTGCATGTGTGGGAGTGCCAGTGTGTGGTGATGTGTCCGTTTACAGGATGCGCATAAATGTATTTTTGATTTAATTGCATTTTCTGCTTGAATTACCATCGACACTCATTCGCCGACGCGACGTCCTTCGATTGCCGTCACCCTAGCGATTACGTAATTTAATAGTTTTTTTTTCTGTTTGTCCATGGGAAAATAATTGGTTTTTAGGATACTACGAATAGTATTGCTCCGCAGCTGTTGCATTATTAATGTCGGTGAAGAGCGCACCGTTTCCGGGCATGTCCTGGGCCACGGAATTAATAGCATAACATTTGGGCGGAAACGCGCACGGAATTCTTTGTGAAAATACACACACACATACATTTCCATGATAAATGATATGCAATACATACATATGTAGTAGTAGTAGTAGAATCCTCGCATGTTGACGTCACGTTCCGATCATTAATTATTTGGAAACTCATTTTATCTCTCTCTCTCACTCTCTCTCTCTCTATCTTTTTGTCTCTATTTTCAGTTCAGCGAGCAGACCGCGAGCGGACACAAGGTAAACCATATCCCCATTTGTATTTATGGCGGCTGTCAGACGTGTCGAATGGCGACAAGCCCCAAGCTCCGAGCCCCAACCGTAGCCGAGACACACGAGACATCTAATCTGTCCCCCCCCCCCAGGGCAGGACCGATTAGTCGAAAGGGAGCTGCGGGAGACCTGACTTGTGTCGCCTGACCCCTGACCTCAGCCAACTGTAAGCCACTGGCAAAGTATAACTTTAGCCCGAAAACTGACAACCGCAACGACCAAAAGTGTCGTAAATCCATAAATCCATAACCAAGCGTCAACATCCACAGCAAACAGCAAACATTCTGTTGGACGACCCTCGACATGTGACATGGGGGGAGGGGCAGTGGAGGGGGAGTGGCTTTTGGAGTGTCGGGAGGCTTTGGCGGCCAATGAACTAAATAACCCCCCACCCCCCTCCCCCGGATCCTGGGCTCCTCTCGTGTCAACCGCAGTCGCAGAAGCGGAGCATATTGACGATGACACTCGAATCTCGTCCCGCGTCTGATAAAATGAAGTATTTTCCCTCCGCAGTTGCCAAGCGTGTGTGGGGGGTGGGGGGTGTGGGGGGAAAAACAAAACACTTTTCTGTAAAACAAAAACAACGGGCGAAAGGGACTTACAACGACAACAATATTGTTTGTGTCGGGCGAAGTTTATCGACAAGTTTTCCTCCTCGTCGTCGTCGTCGCTGAAAACAAAAACAAAAACAAAAAAAAAGGGAGGAAAAACTCCTCTGAAAACTCAGCATAGGAAAAACAATGGGAGCATAAATTAAAGCCCATCCTCGGGGCCCATCCGTGGGCCCATAAAAAATCATAAAAATATATATTAAATTTATACGTACTTACACATAAGATCGCCATGAATTCATAAATTTCTCGTCGAGCAGCCGCCACGGCCATCGCATCCGTAGAGCCACAGACGGAGTCGAAGGCAGACCCGGAGCCGTGGCCACAACCACAGCATAACAACGGCATTGACAGTTAAATGAATGACTCTGGAAGGGAGGCGACTCCTGCTAGAGTCCTGCTAGAGTCCTCCTAGAGTCCTGTGGCTGGTGGCTGGTGGCTCTGCCCCTCGTTTGGTTTTCCTACGTTTTGTTTACTTGCGTTTAATTTATGCAAATCTGTTAAAGTTTTGCCGTCATCGGAAAAGTTGCCGCTGTCAGTGAAACGTTGCATAGTTTTATGCTGCCCCTCAAGGGCGGGGGGCAGGCAGGCAGGCGGGCTGATAGTTTCTACAGGGTATGCGGATAGCTGCCATCCGAATCTTGTTTGGACTTGTGGCCGTGTCGCCCTGTCGCTAATATAATAAATGAAATGGGATTCCCGGACCCGCAATCTATGCATATATAAGTGCGTACAATAGTTTTACCGTTGTTATAGTCCCTGACATCGGGTCCGGCCCTGCCTCCGCCTCCGCCTCCGCCTGTGCTGCTCTCCGGTTCTTGGGGCAGTTTTGTGTAATGTTTTTATGCTGTTTTTGAGCTTTGTCGGAGTTCTGTTGAATGGCTTCATATTTATGCAAAGTTATGCGGCTTAACGGCATAAGTCGCTGGAAGCTGGAAGCTGGAAGCTGGATCGTCCTTCTCGTCCTGGATGGAGGACGGACAGATCCAGGCGGAACAGGATATCGTTGAGGCTGTAATCAATGCATGGGCCAAGGGTTGAAGTTGAAGTTGGGTCTGCATACTCTCAAATGAAGCTCTGACACGCCCCCATGTGGGCGGCAGGCAGGATGACAAACGGTTCTCCGCCCGCCGCCCCCCGAAATGTGGGCCTGCACCACACTGCGTATACGCAACAAAGGAGCTGCCACACAGCCCGCAGCCAGTCCAAAAGGGAGAGCGAGAGAGCGAGCGAGAGGGAGGACCATCTGCCACTTTGGCTAATTCCAAATTATATTAAAAACTTTGGGCAGGACTCTGAAGCCTTTTCTTCTCCTTTGCCGCTTGCATTTTCATTATGCGGCGGCCCACAAAGAGGCAGAGGCAGCGCGGTCCTGGCCAAAAGGATGAATATGAAAGACTGCTTACAAGCACTGCCATGAATGGTTGGATGCCCTCCAACTATTGTCCGCGGGCTGCCTGCCGCTTGTTGCTCCACAGCCACTGCCCCACCACGCCCCGCCCTGCCGTGCCCCATTTATGAGGGCGTGCCCCGTGCTGTAATCCTCGGCCTAGCTTGCAACGAACTTCATTTTGTCGAAGGGCGGAGGGAGGCGGGCAGGCAGGACTCGCATTGATTTTCACTCCACCTCCGCCGCCGCCTCCAGGCAGGACCCTCTTGAGTGACCTCTTAAATTCGTTTAATTTTAGTTAGGTCGAGGCTTAGGCCCGACAGGTCTGCCGCTGCCGCTGCCGCTGCTCCGGAATTAATGGCCTGAATGGGGGGCCTGAAGTGCGCTCTAAATTTGGTCTCCTTTTTCCATCCGTTGTCCTGTCCATCGCATATTTTCCTTAATGAGTTTTGTGCCCTGCCGCTCTCGTATCAAGTGCTCTCCAGATGTAATTATGCGATTCCTGCCCTTGCCACGCGCCCCTGCGCCGTGCCCCTCGAATGTCATCCATCTTTTTATGGACATTTATTTAATAAACTCCTCGCAAGGTCGTTCTCGGGCGCCATAAAAAATGCAATTAAATACTTTCGGCTATTAAAGTGCTGCGAAAATATTCACCATTCACCATTCACCGCCCCCGAAATGAGGCGCATGCAACATGCAGCGACCCCTGCATATGGGGCGGTGGGGAGGCGCTGGGGTGGTGCGGCAGTGGGGCGCTGGTGTGACCTAATAAAACGAAAGAGAAAGCGAAAAGCCTGAAACGCTGATAGCCAGCGGAAGGGAAATTGGAGTGGCAATGGGAGACGATGGGTTTGACCCTGCCACTGGCGGGGGGGTGGGGGGAGGGGCAGCGGAAAGGAAAGGCAAGCGGAAACGTTGGGGCATCGCACACTTATGAGATATTAAGTTGAAAACTTTTGCCTGCCTGTCTGCCACTCGTTCCATTCTGCCACTGCCACTGCCCCTGCCACCGCCACTGCCCCACTGCTGCAAGCTCAAGTTAAATTGAGCAAAATAATGCGGTCAATTTATAACGAGAGAGATAGAGAGGGCTACACACGAGGCATGCAACACCCCCCCCAGCACAATCCGCAATCCACAGCCGACACAACCGACAGCCGACAGCCCACAGCCCACAGCCCACAGCCGACCGTGTTGGGGGCAGCTTAAACAAAAGGAAGTGCCCTGGCTGCCACTTTGTCAGTTTTACTTGTTGTTTGGCCAAGAGGAAGAAGGGGCACCCACCGAGCGAGAGCGAGAGCGAGGAGCCGACTCTCGGTTCCGACTGGCTTGCTGGCGGATGCACGGACATTGTCCTGCCTGCCTGGCTGCCTGCTCCTGCCTGCCTGCTGGTGTCATTTGGCTGTCGCTTTGGTGGCACGCAAGTTTGCAAAATTATGGCATCGAGGCAGCCCGTCGGTCCAGCCCGTCCAGCCTGTCCGCCCTCCAATCTTCCAATTTATAAGGTTAAAGCCTCCCCTCCCCCCCTCCTATCGCCGAAATATTCGTGGGGACTGCCACGTGGGGCTACGTGACTGCTGTGCAGGCGACTGCTGCTATTGAAAACGAAAGTGCAAGTGACTTTCTCTGCTTTCTCTGCGGCAAATGACCCAATTTATGAACCGCATTCCGGTCAACGAGCCAAAGGCACACGGACTCGTGCGCCAGGACACTGGCTTATGGCTTATGTGCGGCGGAAGTCCCTCCGCCCTCCCCTCCGGACACCGACACGGACACGGACACGTATCCGTATCCGTACACGAACTCGGATTAATTTCGCTTAGTGACATTCGGTTTTCACTTTTTAATGAGTTGCCCCGAGGATTGCTGCTGCCCCTCTGCTCCCGGGAGCTTCCGGGAAATTGGTGGCAAATTAGAGGGAAATTCGATTGGCAATTTGAGCCCCCCCCCACCCCACCCCCCGAGAAAGTGGGTCATGGAAGGGTCTGCCGAACGCCGTCAAAGGAGTCAAAGGAGCCAAACGAGCTCGTTCGGGAGCAGACAAATGCAAATGGGGGAAACTTTAATTAACAGATTCAAGTCCTGCCGAATTTGGTCCTTAGCCACTGGCCAAAGGACTGCACGCTCTGTGTGACCCAATTGTAGAAGCGTCCCAGTGCCTCCGGCCGATCAGCGCCCAGGGCCCCAGAGCCGTCCGGATGGCCAAACAGTCGGTAGTTCTCCTTGCCCGGGCTCTTGATGAGGGCACGGTAGGCGGTGCTCAGCAGAATGAACTGCGCCTCGTCGCCCGTGCCGCGGACGTCCGGATGCAGGACCTTGGAGAGCTCGCGGTAGGCCTTCCTGATCTCCGCCTGCGAGCAGGACGACGGCACCTGCAGGATCTTGTAGGGATTGAACGCATTGCCGGAGCGTGTGCGGCCGATCAGGCCCACGCCCACGATGGTCACCATGGTCCAGGCCACGACAACGAAGAGCACCAGGGCACACGATCCGAGGACATTCCAGGCCGCGCTCCTGGCCGCCAGGGCCTTCCTGGCGGGCCTTCCTGTGGCATTGCGCGACCAACAGCCGAGCGTCGTGAACGTCAGTACGAAGACCATGGCCAACAGGACCAGCAGCAGGGACGAACCGAAGTTCTCCTCGGAAGCGAACTCTTTCCCAGACATGGGTCTTCCTGGAGGACAAACACGGGTATTCCGAGATCGACTATCCACACATTTCACTTACGTTTCGGCTTTAGAGAGGGCACGGGGAATATATGTGTGTGTTTAACACGGCGAAAATACAAAATACATTTACTACGAGATTTTCCGCCCTGTATCTGATTGAGGCTGACACTTATACTGATGCCGATGGGGTTGTTTCGTTGGGACTGGCGTTTGGAATGCATTCTCAACGCCTACTTCCTTTTTTGCCTTGAAATTTGGGAGAAATTTCCATACAATAGGCAGGAATCGGAGCAG